AAACTAAATAAGTAATGCAAAAGTATATATTGTTCCCAAAGTTAAAAAAAATATTACCAACCTTTCTATAAAGTTATAAGAATACCAAAAGTGCATGATCCCAAATATTTAAGCCTTAAAACTTTCTGCCTTTACTAACATTCTGCTTGCATCCCACTAGAATCCTAAAGACGTTTACGTCGAAATCATCATGTGTGACACTTGTATCTGCTTTTATTCCGTCGCCACCGCATTTTGCTCCTTTCTTCGTGCTGCTGGCGGGCTCACCAGATTCCTCACTACCAACCTTATGTTCCTTCATGCCTGTTGTTCTCATTAAAACTGCAACAGAATAACTTCTAATCACCAATTGAAGAAGAGATAATGAAATGGTTTCCTCACCAGTATAATTGTCTTCGACCAAGTTGTTCCCAGAGGTTAGCTGCTCAAGATGGAAAAGCTTCCGTAAGTTGACTTACGGAATTCACTGATGACAGTGAGCTCGAGATCAATAAATAGAGCTCTGGGAACATGTTTTCGGCACCAGTTTGGCAGACAAAGCTACGATCAAGTTCTTCGCTAAACCAAAAATAAGAACTTTCAAATCTACAGAGAATAGAGAAATTATGTCCGAAAGTGATTCAAACCAATGGATTCCGTTGTGTATTTTTTTCTTTCTCTTGAGGGTTTACTTGGCAAAAGGAAAAGGAAAATTTTGCAGGGGAAAGTGTATTCTCACAGAGTGTAGTTGGTGCAATGGGAGGCAGATGTTTCTACCTCAGCGTTCTCTCTACAAATTGAAGCTAGCTATCCGCCTCGGTGTGCCATCAAGGTGTTCCATGTTCCGGAAAGAAGTTCCTATAAATCTGGAAAAAAATGCCAAAATAAGGTTTTTGCTCCGGAAAAGACAGAGGTTGAAAGAAAACCAATAGGTTGGTTTAACGAATCACAAAGGACCAAATTACAGGTCATGTTTTCAGTATCTTATACAAATCTGAGTAAGTAAGATGTTCATGAAAAACTTGCATTCTACGAAACATAAGATACTCATGGAAAAACTCAATTCAGAATCATAAGCCTCGTCTAGAGATTCCTTTGCATAAATCAAATTTATTGTTTTGTGTTAAGACTTTAATCTTCTTCACCAACTGGTCGGTTCTCTAATTTCTCAGGCACACCTAAAGAAGGAGAATAACCCTCAATTCGTGATGCTGTTTTATAGAGGAGTACTTGCAGGAAACCCATGACCTAAAAATACAAAACACATATCTTGATAGTCGAAGCGCTGCAGGAGCTTTTGCTGCAGAAAGCATACGAACAAAAAAGTAGGCTCCCTTGACCTTCAACCGTAAACAACAGTTGAAAGCACTAACTAACTTGAAGAGAAACTAAAACAATTTTTCTTACTGAATGTATCAATCATCAATCTGAAGCAGAACTTATTAGATTAAAATCACCAAACGGAGATAATAGATAGAGTACATGTCTCTTGGAATGGCATCTTTTGCTGTTGTACTCCAGCGGATGAACAGAACAAACCTGGGAATCATGCAAGCAGCAACATCTCGACTCTCATGAGTTCACCGCTGCATCGGATGTTCCTGGCCTGCCAGAAGGGGAGCAACCGAACTTGAACACCAGGGTCATCGTCTGAAAAGGAAGATCACTGCATTAGCCATTTTCTGGGTATAAGTTTACTTTCTTGTTTAGTGGGAATGAGTTAGTTGCGATAGTAGGAGAGCTTACCCTTATATAATCGAAAGTTCCACCGCCTCGCATGAAGATCTCATTCAAGATAGATAGTGGGTGATGATTTAAGAATGACTATAAGATGGAGAATCTGTAACTGGTATAGAGCGCAAGGAAGAAGCTGAATCAATTTTTTTTTAAGAACTCTGGTTCTGTTTCAACATTGAACGGCAGAGAACGAAAGCTAATTGCAAACGACGGTCAAACCTGCATTCTTGGAGAAACTCATTAATGGGCGCGACGAATTGAACACATGTAAGGCCCAAATCAAATAAAAAGTCACGTACCAGAAATTCTAATGAAACGCAGCAGATTTGCGTTGTGGACACGTGGCACTCGCAGGTTTCACCAATTGATGACGTGTCCTTACCTTGAGTGAGTAAACTTTTCTTTATAGTATAAGATATTTGGTATGTAAATTAAACCCATTCAATTCCATCTTGATATATTTGGGCAGTACAGCAAGTAAACTTAATAATACGCATAGTATAGTTGCGTATAATGATTTTAATAAAATACATAAAACACTATCAATAATAAATAAAACTAACATGCCTTGAAACATAACATTCCTTGACACCTTGAATTCTCGGCCAGAGTTTTAAACACATATCTCAGCTTTCATTACAAAATATATTAAGAAGCATCACATTTAACCCTCACAAACCATGTAATGTCTGATGAGGAAGAACACTTTCGAACAGTGAGGCCAAGCAGACTGACATGAGAAAGACCAGAAGCAATTTTCTAAAAATTGACCATCTTTATAAAACCGTTTATATACCATAATAATAATTTTCTTTTAAAAAGGCTGATTTTTTCAAATATTTTTTGAGGGCCGGAAGCGGTTGCTTGTAACGCTTCCCCTCAGGGCCGGTACTGAGCCAAGTGAATCTTTGATGTAATTATCCCTTTATTATTAAAAGGGAAGAAATTTTAATAACTAACTTAGTAGTGTAAATTAATAACAAATTTGCCATTATGCTTAGGTATCAGCATTTTAAGCCTTCTCACATCATTAAACTAAAAATCTATCTTTTACTAGATTAATTACAAATTTTTCCATTGGTGTTACCTATTGTATATGCTCTTAATTATGTTTATGATATGGTCATGATATTATGAGTAAAACACTGCTATCTTTTATCACCTATTGTAAGTCAAAGAATAGGTCCTGATATATTAATGTCGATGGACTTTTTCGATGACAAACGAGTAATATTTGTATACGAAGTTCCGGTAAATTCACCATAATTTGATTTTATAGTGACTTTGAAAGTGCTCTTCCTTATGAAAAACTACTTATCATTTTATCAAAAGAACAAAAAAAACTACTCATCAAAACAAGACATACAAAATACAGTTTGGTACAGAACTTGATCATTATGAATTTCAACGGTAATATTCAAAGAAGTTTAAACCACTGAAATGTAATCTTAGTTTTAACTCTACAATCAATCTAATACATGTTGGTCATGGTTCATTGTTAACGTAATCAAAATCGTACTTATACAAGCAACTTAATACAAAGGTCGGAACACAATTACTATGATTAAGATTACTATAATTCTATAAGCAACCTAATTCATGGTTCGTGGTTTAAAATTACTCAAAATTTAAGTCGTATTATGGATTTAAAAGTAACCTTGTGCCATCGAAACCATTATTCTCATGTATGTGAGTTTTATTTATTATTGACAGTGTTTTATTTATTTTATAAAAATCACTATATACAAATAATGTATATTATTAAGTTTACTTCACATACCCATTCAAAAAGTATATATATATTGAATGATACTATTAAAGTATATACTAAATATGTAATTTATATGGCTTAGTTGGAGTATTGACCAAGTTTTTTGAAATACCGCATATAAAATATATTCGGAGCATACGATCATAATTTTCATGAAGTAATAACACAATTCTAGCAATGTATTAATGACATCGAAAATATTGCTAAAATTTGAGACGTGATTTATTTTATAGTCTTATATGGCAATTCAATATTCATATAAACACTAATTTAGTCTATTTTATATGATAAAAGTCAGATTTACGTTTTTAGTTGGCGAATTTCAGTAACCTATGTTTGACCAAAAAAAAAGTAATTACATTAAGGTTTTCATCAAAAAATTAACAACATTATGGTTACACGAACTAATCATATGACGATGGCCCATTAAGTAAAGTTCAAGATATTTTGACATTTGTAAGTCTTTATAATACATGTACTTGAACGTAAAAGCTCTTTAATAATATTATTTTTGATCAAAAAAGCCTTTAATATATTTCTGGTTTAAGCCTATATAACTAAAATTTTATCAACTGAAAAATAAATATTGTAAAACTAGAATTTTAAAAAAATTACAATTATGCAGCATAAACATACTTTAAGATTTCACTCCGCGCTGGGCACAAATCATACCTAATAGTTTATTATTTGAATGCTACACGCTCTACACTTCTTAGACAAATGTTACCTGTTAGTCATCAAATAAACTTTGTATTTGAATGCATTATCACATCATACACTATTAAAATGGCTAAATAAAGCCTTTTGGAACTATACACGTCAGATAAAATATTCGTCCAATAAAGACACAGTTTTCGTCCACGTCACCAACTCTATTGGTTTCGAGTGACGAGAGACCTAAACCCTATTTTTTCCAATCTCTTCTCATCCCCTCCTTCGCGTCTCTGCCTCCTCTCATCCCCATCCATTCCCGATTCATATTCTCACCGTGAAACGCGAATCTCTCTCTTTCTCTCTCCTAATTTTCACAGTGAGCTTATAGATCCTCTCTTTCAATTTTTTTCACACACTATTAAAAGGGCTAAATAAAACCTTCTGGAGCTATACACGTCAGATAAAATATTCGTCCAATAAAGACACAGTTTTCGTCCACGTCACCAACTCTATTGGTTTCGAGTGACGAGAGACCTAAACCCTATTTTTTCCAATCTCTTCTCATCCCCTCCTTCTCGTCTCTGCCTCCTCTCATCCCCATCCATTCCCGATTCATATTCTCACCGTGAAACGCGAATCTAGCTCTCTCTCTCTCTCTCTCTCTCCTAATTTTCACAGTGAGCTTATAGATCCTCTCTCTCAATTTTTTTTTGTATTTTTGAGATTCTAGCATTAGGGCTATGATTTTATAGATTTATTCGGCGTGGTAACATATGCATCGATCTGTTCATGTCTATACTGTTGATTTAGTATTCGTTTCTGTTGTGATCGGTTTGGTGTTTGTTAGGTAGGTTTGGAAATGGCGACAGTTCCAGGACAATTGATTTGGGAGATCGTTAAGACCAGCAACTGTCTCTTGGTCAAACAGTTTGGAAGAGGCAACGCCAAGGTTCAGTTCAGAAAGGAGACTAACAATCTCTGCAACCTTAACTCCTACAAGCACTCTGGTAATTTTATTACAATGATCTTTGCTACTGAACTTAATGATTTGTCTTTCTCTTGATCGGTAGTGAACTGATTAGTATGATAGCTTCTGACGAGGATTCGTGTCATGGCTTTCAGGTTTTGCAAACAAGAAGACAGTGACCATCCAGCCTGCTAACAAGGAACAAGGTGTTGTCCTCGCCACCACCAAGACCAAGCCTAAGATATCTGTCAAGAAGCCCATCCTGAAGAAGGAATTCCCCACGATGTCCAAGGCTGTTGCTAACCAGGTTTGTGTATCTCTGCAACTTAAAGATGTTTGTTTCTATGTCTTTGATGTGCTAAATAAGTTTCTGTGATGGATCTCAAGGTGGTTCCATTTACACTGTTACTTCCTCTTGCTTTGATTTGTGTCAATATGGGAGAAGGAGATCTATTCAAAGCTCTTGAAGAGGCTGTCTTAGTCGTTGATCAACTCCCAGCTTCTTTAACAATGATCTCTTGTGACGAGCCTTTAGTGAAGGTGACATAAATGTTATTTTCAATCTCCATTGGATAGGATTATTGTTAGTTGTAACTGAAAGGATCAACATGTGAAGTTCCCTGTACACAGGAACAAGAAGAGCAAGCAAAATTTCAAGCGCAAAATCAAGGTACACGAACAAAACACCTATCCTTTAAAATTAATTTCTCAACTCAACATTGTTTGGTTTGGTGCTGCACTCTATGTATTCAAATATATATTATTGCTGATATTCCCTTTTACATATAAAGAAGTCACCCACTTCGGTATCTCCTGCAGGTACCTCAAAAAGAAAAGACGGCAAGTGAGGTTTCTATCCCAAAACCTCCAATTTTCCTACTATAGTAAGCTCCTCAACTATAGCTTGGTTTAACATATACATAGGTCTTTTAGAGAATAATGATAGAGTCGTGGACGCATGGAACATCCTCACATGAACCCTTGACAATTCCGTTTAGTAACCAGCTAAAAGAACAATTAACATATCAGTCTCATGTGAACGCCAGTTCTTTTCTTCGCACCTGAACTTAACACAAGAATGTGAATCTTAGTTTAGGTCTCAGGCATACAACCAAGTTACTGTGGACAATAATAGTGTGTATCCTTATTAATACATGTATATTATGTCAGACATAAAGTCTTGGGGAGTCAATCAAGCAAAGAGTCACAATCATCATATTCCAAAACCATGAAGGATCAGGTTGGTTCCGGTTAAGGTCGAGGGTGTAACTCTCCTGAACCTGTTGTGAGTGGTAAAGACGCAATACTTAAAATCTCAGATTCTACATTTAACTTCAATTATAGCATCTTCATGCTTCTTCTTTTCCATAAAGTTTCTACTCTATTGTTCAACACTTTGAATTAAGTATCAACTTTTTCTGATGAAATCTTTTGTACAAGGCAAAGACATCTCTGAAGGAAGAGTAGTAATCAAGGTTACATACTTTGGAATTCATTTACCAACATTCATGACCTCTGTGATGAGACAGGCTGTCTGATCGCACCAGGCGGTTTTGGTCTTTCTCATTCCCAAACACTTCCTACATTTACACCACCCGTAAGATCTCTTAGCATTGTGTTTATTAATATCTTGGTTTTGATCTCAATGCTTGAACTTAGAACATGTTTATTTTCTAAATGGTTTTGAAACTGCTTCTATTGTTTGTCTTAATCCCAGTTTCCCATCATAATAAGCTTCAATTAAGTTTGTCTTCCTTGATTTAACAATACGTTTCTTTTAAACAAAATACTTAACCGCTTAAGGTGATGATGATGTATGACAGGAATCGCGGCTGACTCATGTGCATCAGCTTCATGTTCAAGATCACATTAGATTCATCAGTGAGCGGATGATAGGAAACCAATGAGCTTTGTAATCTATTTTTTTTATCCTTTGTAGCTTTCTTACTTTTGGTCTCAAACTATTGTACTCATCTTTTTTTCCTAGGCAGCTATTGCCATGATGTAGTAGGAAATGACATACGAAGTTCTTAACTCTCGCAGACGTACTGCAGCTTTGTTTATCATTCCTGTAGTCACATTATTTTTTCTTATTCTCATAGCTAATACACCTGTGTTAAGAGGAAACTTGAAATATATCACTTTGTTTATAATCAGGGTCAAATGCAAACATATATGCCTTCAGGCTTTTCATTTTTGGTGAAAACAATATGTGTTTGGAATAAGGACCTTGGTTTAAAACTCATCTATGGGATCATCACTCTCTGTGTAACGTGAACTCTCTATTACTTAATCAACTCCAAATAACTAAAAATAAAAATAACAAATCATTGAGAGAGTTTATGATTCTCAGATTAAGCTAAAAATAAAATAAAAACATGAAAAGTTGTTTGTTTATAAGACACCAATAAATTAAACACCCCTGCACTAAAAAAGCAAGTCTTAAAATTAATTGTTCATACATATTATCCATTAATAAAAAAATTATTTTGTATAATTTCTAAACATATTAGAATGGGGTTTTAATGGTTTGGTTTGTTCGATTACAAGCCATAACAATACAAGTTTTTCTCCACACTCAAGTAACAAACCTAGAAATCACAGAATCAAACGTTGTGGCATATCATGTCAAAGATTGCTAATATGATAAGATATATATATATATATATATATATATATATATATTCCCTCTATTTCAAAGTTCTCAATGCTTTAGAGAAAAAAAATGTTTAGAAAAGATATTTTTTTACATTTTCAATATTTTTTATTAGTTTATAACTGTGAATTATCAACTTTAAATAAATTAATTGTGATTATGATTTGTTAAAATTATAAAAAAATAGTTAATCAAAAATAAATAATATCATTTATAATTAGAGTACTGTTGGTGTTACTTCTCTGCCGTCTAAAAACCCTGAATCTTAGCGACTAAGGAAACTAGAGTACATAGTTCACATTAAGGTCTAATGTTAAACCATTGATTGTATTGTGTTATTCTTTGCTTGAGGAAGTTAGAGAACTCTGTTTGATGTGTTTTGAATTTTATATATGTAGAAGGAGGAAGAGAAATAAGGGGAGGACCTTACAAGGATTAAGGATGTAAAAGGTGGTAAAGAGGATAAGGCGCTGCAAGAGATGACCATACCAACTGCCAGAGAAGCACATGAACAGGCTAGAGCTAGAGTTCTCGAACAGCAAGATGGTCTTTGCAAACTTAGCCATGCACTCGGCATTTTGGCCTCTGCATCTGTAAGTAAAAGGAGTTTATGTTTTTTTCAGCAATGAAAACATATTTGAGAATCTGTTTGTTTTTCAGTCGGTGTGTAGAGAGCATGAAAAATTCCTGCGGCTGGACAAGAAAGAGGTACAATGTCCACAAAAGCATAAGCAATTATGTTTAATGTTGATCCCTCTTAGCTCCCCACTGCTAAGACTTTTTCAACACTAGGAGATTTTCATAAGCAAAAGAAATTTAGGCTTACACTCATGTTGGCAATGCTAATGCTAAAACAACAAAATCAACAGTTATATGATTATTGATCACAAGATAACAGTTCTTCTACTTTCACAGTTGAGAAATATATAAAGAGGGATTAGTAAAGTACGCAGCCTTTTCTAAAAATATATATTTATACCTAAGCTTGGAAACTAAGCATAAAAAATTATCAAACAGAAAAAAACTTCTAAATTGTTAAAATAATTTTATTAGATGTTTAATATCTATGTTAATTTTTTTAAAAAAGGATTTCCCTATAAATAAATTTGAAATTTAGATTTAATTTTGGAAATTATGTAAAATTTCAACTAACAAAAAAGATGATTTCTTAAACATATATAATCAATATTAGTATAAATGTGCCAGAAGAATGTAAAATATGGATAAGAAAAGGATTGAAGACAATAATAACTAAAAACTGAATATAATTAAACATATAGAAAAAGTATTGGAAATATAATGGAAAAATTTACATTATAAAAATATAAAGTTCTAAATCAAGAAAAAATGAACTAAGGCGGAAACTTATACCAAATTACGAAGACGAAAACATGCAATAAAAATGAAAGTTTAGTTTGTTATAAATAAATGAAGGTTGAAAATTTAGTGGGACTAATTAACAGGATGAAATAGGTATTTTTATAAAATTATTAAACATTAAAAATTGGAAAATAAATTCATTTTTTGAAGGAGATTTATCCTAAAATATATAAAGATTAAGAATTCATATTAATTAACCATATGCGATATGTTTTTAAATTAATTTGAATAAAATAAAAAAATAATACTCACAGAAAACTATTAGTAAGAGTTAACTTTACAACTCCATAAAACAATTTCAAAGTTTCAAATGAAAACTAACAAAAGAATTACAAGTATTTCCATGTGCTGATAGACATTTGATTTTATTTAATTAAAAAAAGAAAATAACCAGAAAAAGAAAGAAGTTAGAGGAAATAGAAGATATGAGAAAATAGAGAACACTTGTGATACATGAAACCTTAAAACTATTCACCGCGCTAGATGTTGAGGTGGACACCATCTTGGGTATTAGACCTAGAGAAACCGAATATTATAGGATATACAAAATATTGACAAATATTTATTTAATATTATTTCAACCAGTTATTTAAATACATAAGTTGGTAACAAAACATAAACTATTATGCAAGTTGAGTCAAAAAGCTGAACCATGAAAATTTATATACTACATTATCATTTCATTTTAAACAAAAAAAATATTCATTTTCTCAAATTCAAATGACTATATTTTCTTAAATGTATAATTATGGTGGTCACACAAATTTCTATGTCTTTGTTATAAAGTAGTATTTTGATCTATTCCATGTATAAAATTTGGTTCATATTGCATAGTCTCTCGAAACTTGAGAAAAAAACTAAGATGGCAATTATTATTTTTTAAATGGTTAAACAATAAATAACAACTTCAGCTAAATATGTATATGGTTTTTGACATAAATTCATAATAAAAATATTTCTACTAAATTATTTTATTGTTTGTTTTTAAAAGCGATGATCTGTGACAAGAAGTGTTTTAAAAAAAAGAACCGGCTAGTTGAATCATGACTCTCTCTCTTCTAAACAATTTTGAGTTGTGCTAAAAATCAACCAATTCGGTTTAAGAACCGGTTACTCGCTAAAAACCAATGGACAAGTTTGATATTAAACGATGATTTGTTTTCAAATTCAAGTTAAAAAATATAAATTAAAAAAAACTTTCATAAAAACCTGTATTGTTTTTAATATCTATTTAAATAAATTATTTTCATTATATTTTATATTATTTTTTAAGTTTTCATTTTATTCTCATATCATTTTAGCTTCAAACAATGATAAAAAGTCTTATAAAAACAATTTTATAGTTATACATGTATATAGATACCTAAAAATTAAATTAAATTTACAACCCAATGAGAACGGTGTAACTGCAATGTCAAGTTAATGTTTGATTTGGTATTCAAAACATTGATGGAAAGGATAAATTAAAATCATCCAGTTTATAAATAAATAGAATAAATAAACATTATTCATA